GGGGGGGGGGGTATGAATCAAGATTTGAGGCATGAGTCTCAGCCGCATTTCTGTTTTGCTGTTTTGCTGTGTTACAGCCAAGATCGCTGTCAAGTGTGGGACATAGACGGTAAGATCGTGTCATGTTGGTGTAGGATGATAGCACGTACGCGTGCGCGAGGCGCGATCGAGAAATTAATGGTGTTCGATGTTGCTTTCCGATGCCCCTGGGCGTTCTTTCTCAGCATTCTTTCAGGGGGGGGTTGGGTACTCAAAGCGGTGCATGCCGTAGTTGTTAGGCCGTTGGCCTCGCATGCCTACAAAGCCGGGACGGAGCACGCCCGGTTCTCACCGGACCAGGCCCTCACATGATCAGAGGAGAAGCGCCGCGAGGTTTTCGCTTCTTTCAGGGGGGGGGGTTTCCACAGAATAAAAAAGCATATTACACCTCCCTCCGGGATGACGCGGCAAACCCAGTTCTGGGGGTGTATTTAGGTCTCCTCGGTATTCTCGTCTTCATCATTCAAAACGAGACATGCCAACTTGGCAGAGCACTGTTGCTCCGTAGAAACCTTTATCTCCGTTCCTCTGCTACAATACCGTGTCGCGGCCTCTCGCGGCCAGTATTTCTCTCTCTCTCTTCCCTCCAAGCGGCATGCAAGGAGTGGCATCAACCACGGGGTTTGTTTCCTCCGGTCAAGGGAACTACATTGTCATCCTGCCAGAAGTAATCTCAGATGGCCAAGTTCCAAAAGTCGTACCACCAACCTACCTACAGTTTCTTTGCAACCACCTCTCGAAACAAACAAGGTGCGAGCGTGGGAAAAATGCTTGACTCATTTGCATTTGCAGCTCCTAAAGCTGGCAAACCTCACTACTGGAAGGGTTCTATGTGTTATTCTCGTTCATCCCCTCTGACGTGAGACCTCTATCGCGGGTAAGACTCTCCTTCGACTCGTTAATGTCTCATTCTCTCGTTCGGGGAGCCGTACTCCGTGGAACTTTTACCGCCCCACGATGAAATGCCATGCGTAGTAATTCATAGGTGCTTTCATTTACAAAGGCCAGCTTGGTTTGTTTGTCTGCTCCTTCCACAAATATACCTGCCCTTTTCCACTGTCTCCGCTGCCCTCACTCAGAACTGCTACAAAGCACTTACCCCACTAGTTTCGCTTGGTCAGCAGCACAAAAGTACTACCTTGCCACAACCTGGTACTAACATACCTGTTCCTGGGTATTCGGCAGAGAAACATTGATATGCGGGGGCCTCCGGGGGATTAAGGTGGCTGGGTGTTTCATGGGTATGGTGAACATGGTGCGCGGAGGTCTCCTTGCCTCGCCCATGTCTCTCACTCGTTAAACTGTTTGACGAATGAAAAACGTGGGTGACACGAAAGGAGCCTCGCGCATCATGTTGACCATTCCTATGAAACACCCACGTAGCCCCCAGAGGCCCCGCATAGCAGTCCTACTTCACTAGATACCCATAAATAGTCACCCCCCCCCTACAACCTAGTAGATGGAGGGAAGGAGTGGTTGTGAACCTGTTCAAGAAAGGAGACAAGACTGACCCAGGAAACTACAGGGGGATCACACTGTTGAACACAGTAGGAAAAGTGTTCTGTAAGCTGTTGAATGATAGGATAGTGGGAGTATTGGAGAAGGAACATAGCATTAGTGAGGGCCAGGCAGGTTTCCGCAAGAAGAGGGGGTGCGTAGACCACGTGTTCACGGTAGGGAGAATCATCCAAGGTAGAAAGAGGGCGGGAAAGCCGACGTACTGCTT